AGGTGGCAGCACAGGCGGCTTGAAGCCCCAGCGACAGACTGTGACAAGCCCTATCCCACTGACTAGGCACCCAGCCCACAGCTTTGCTCCTGCTGAGACAGGGCCCTCTGCTTAGAGCCTGTTAGGAAAGGCAGCTGGGGTGACAGGATGCTCCGTAGACACTGCTGGGTGCAGGACCATCCCATCCGAATTAGCCTCAGGAACCTTCAGGCTGGTTCCTGGGACTTCCCCATGGCAGTGTTATTTGAGGAAGTGTTGCCTGTCTCACTCCACAGGACAATGAATTTGATGTCACGGGTGGTTTTGAACTTTGCTTGCTTGCCTGTCTCAAGGCCCACTCTGATCCTGAGAGTTTCACTCTTAACCCTGGCAACCTAGTTCTCAAAGCAGAAATGGGACTTTGATTAGATCTCAGCACTGGGGAGGCAGAGGCAGAGGAGCACCACACATTTGAGGCTAGCCTGGGCTACACAGCTTGACCTTCCCTCCCCCAAAAGAAGAGAGGGTAGTGGGGCTGGAGAGATGGCTCAAAGGTTAAAATCACTGACTGCTCTTACAGAGGACCGGGGTTCGATTCCCAGCACCCACATGGTACTAACAACTGTCTGTAACTCCAGTTTCAGAGGATCTGTTGCCCTCTCTGACCTCTGCAGACATTGCACAGGTGCACTCACATACATGCAAGCAATACATTCATACACATAAAATAAAAATAATAAATAAATTTTTTAATTAAAGAAAGTAATCGGGGCAGCAGTGGTAGCCAGTCATTTTCTTATGAACAACAGTTAGCCACAGAGAAGTAAGCGCCATCCTTCCACCGACCCTGCTGTATCACCTCCCTTCCAGAAGGAAGACATTGCTGAAACTGAAGTAGAAATTAGAGCTTCACCCTTCAAGAGCCCTTTCCTAATGTCTGTGCCCCGGGACCTGAGTGTCCACCGTCCCAGTGGAGGAGCTGTGACCGACTATCTTCCCACTAAGAGGCATGCACTTGGCAAGGGCTTGGATTAGCACTGAGAGGCAGAACTGCTGGTTTCCCACGTCTTCACTAACTAGGAGAACCGTGCCTCCTAGCCCCACGCCTATGCTGGCTTTTAGATTTGTCTTCTCTCTTGCAGATTTCTTGGTATTGCACTCAATAGGGACAGTTCTCTTGGTGAGAAAGGTGGATGGTAGTGTGATGATTTGACCGCACCTTGAATGTGTTCTTTACTACCTCCTACGGTCAGAAATGTAACCATCACACTGTAGTTTCACTGGGCCCACGACATTCTAGTAGAAAGTCGGCCCCAGGGGAAAGACAGCCAGGGCTGCATCTACAGTGATGTAAAGCCAGGGACAAAGTCGTGACCACGGACAACTTCATTCTTCACAACAGAGCTCTTGAGAGAGGTGATTTTGGAAGGGGGAAGATTTCTCAGGTCACATGAACCTTAAAGGAGGGGACTAGCAGGTGAGGGAGAAGCATCCTGCCTGCCTCTCACCTGGCCTTAGTATCACAACGAGGGGGCCATCTGTGCTGTGCAGGAGTGTTTGGGCCACCTGAGTCCCTAGAGGTATGGATCAGATTACTGTATACAGTCAGCCTCCAGGCCAGGGATAACCGGAGCTGGCCAGATGTGTGTCTTACAATAACTGTGATGATGAAGAGATCTTGCAGTCCCTTGGTCGCTGTTCTGTTTTTAAATACACCAAGAGCTTTCTAATGACTGGGCCTCAGCATAACCCTGTGACTGACCACAGCAGCTCAGAGGGTTAAGGAATCCACCCAAGGTCCCCTACTCCTAAGTTCATACTCAGGATTACCTGGAAGATCCTGGTCTGGACCCGAGGTTGACCTTGTTCTAAAAGTGTTTTCTGAGTATTTGGGTCTAGGGAAGAGCAACCCCATCTTCCAAAAAGGGGGCAAGAGATGCTCCTAAAACCCTCCAGTGCTCTGCCCTGCTAGAGTGGGGTGCAGCCACTCTGAGGGACAGTCACTCACCCACCTTCCCCACACGGTGGTGACAGAGTGGGATAAGGGCCTCAGCCCACGGCACAGGCTGAGGTGTTACCCAATGCTCCATCCCAAAGAGAGCCTCGAAAAGGCAGTTGCTTGCCACATAAACACAGCTCCCAGACACAGCCCCGCTGTGCTCCTGTCCCACACAGCCACCTCTAAAATACATTTAGGAACTCTAGATAGTCCCCTGGGACTGAACTCCAGCATACAGCCTCTCAAGGCTGGGTGAGAAGGTGGCTGTGCTGAGCTCTCCTGCAGTCCACAGTCTTGGGTCAGAGCATGCAATAACCTATTGCTTGGGCATCCGACCTCATTCAGAGAGCCAAGAGACATGCTGGCAGGATCCATGCCCAGTCCCCTCCCATCATGGCTGCCCTGGTTTCCTGCTCCACCTGAGTGGTGGGAGGAGGAGCCCAGCTTTCCTGCCAAGTCAGGAGAAAGGAACAAACAAAGGGTTAAACCGTAGCTTGGGGAGGAGCCTGTCTCCAGGGAAACTTCCCAGGCTCACCAGGGTTGAAGCCTTCCCTCTGCCCCCGTCTGCAGACAGCGGGTGAAACCACAAGCAGGTTTTTGGGTTATTTTTTGGCAAGATTATTTCATGTGTTAATCAGAAGTCCTTCCCAGCACCACCCCACCCTCCACACGCAGCACGTGTTCCGGCCGAGCGTTGTTATTGAACAAAACCTAAAGTGTAGCCTGCATAGATAGAGTCTGCCTCCATCAAGGCCTCTCAGGCATTCTACACGTGATGAAGGGCCCTTGCAACAGGACTGTCTCCCACTCTGGCAGCCTCCGCCCCCCGCCCCGCCCCCCGCCCAGGATATGCCGTGAGTGCCATTGCTCCCTCAGCTGCTGCGGGGCCCTTGCAACAGGACTGTCTCCCATTCTGGCAGCCTCCGCCCCCCGCCCAGGATATGCCGTGAGTGCCATTGCTCCCTCAGCTGCTGCTGAACTGTTGCGGCTACAAAAGGACTTTTATATCCCTAAGCACACAAACCCTCAGTAGAGCCAGGTGAAAACCCAGCCATCAACCAGGCACGGTGCACGCTTGTAATAGCAAGCACTTGGGAGGCCGAGGCAGGAGGATTACACAGTCCAGGCCAGCCCTGTGCCACTTGGCAAGATTCTGTATATTAAAGAAAAAAAGCCCAGGCTGGCCTCAAACTCACTGCGTAGCCCAGGCTGGCCTACTCATCACAGTCCTCCAGCCTCAGGTCATGAATGATGGGCTTATAGGCATGAGTCATTATGTCCAGCTGAAAAACAGGTTTGAAGGTGGGAGAAAGCAAATTCTTCCCTGAGCTCTGAGGTCCGGGACTTGTAATAAATGACACTTATAAGGAAGTGACTCAGCTCTTCTGTGTAGTACTGGTTCTCAGTCCTCCATTAGCATGGCCACCCAGCCCAGCACTCAGCACCCACACTTCCTCCTCCCTGACCCACTTCAAAAGTCTTTCACTGTGCTCGCAAATCACTCAGCTGACTTCACCTCCTACACTTTCTTCATGTGTCCCACAAAGTGCTGAGCCCCAGATCCCTGCTTGGCTCTAGAGAGGACCCCCAGGGTTCCCACCACAGGGCAAAGCACACTGCTAAGTTTCATGCCTGCTACAGGGTGGGGTGGCACTGAACTTCTGGGACACCTGATCACGTAACAGATTGTGAGTCACGTTAATGGAATCATGTTTAAAATCTAGAGCTCAGGGCTGTGGAGATGGCTCAGGGGTTAGGCACTTGCCACACAAACCAGAAATGTGAAAACCAGAGTCCAGACCCATAAACAGCACCTACAGGTGGGTGTGGCGACCCACCTGTAATTCCAGCCCTGAAGACAGAAATGGGGGATCCCAGGCTGGTCTCACTAGCTATATGGGTGAGCTCTGGGCTTGACTGAGAGACCCTGCATTAATGAATAAGATGCAAGAGCAGTGGAGAACAAGTCCCAACACCAACCTGGGGCCTTCACAACACACACAGCTCACACTCATGAAAATGAGAACATTCAAGAGCTCATTGGAGGGAGACAGTGCTAAGCAATGCTAAATACTAGTGTAACAGTCCACTCACACCGTGAGGAACAGTCATGATCATTCTAACACTATGCTACAGTATCAGTGATACCTGGTAGTAAATGATAAAGTGGTAAAATTAGCACCAAGGTTTATGGTATCTGTCCTGGACCTAAACTGTCGAGATGATTTTCTTCTTGTTTAGATACATTCTGCCTCACACATTTCTGTAGTACATATACCTGTTCAACCAGAAATTTTTCATTTTTATTTTATGTGGTAAGTGTTTTTATGTAGGTGAACTACATGCATGCAATGCCCATGGAGGCCAGAAGAGAGTGCCAGATCCCCTGGAACTGGAGTTATAGATGGTTGTTAGCTGCCATGTGGGTCCAAATCCATGTCCTCTGCAAGAGCAGCTTAACAGCTGAGCCCTCTCTCTAGCCCCTCAAACCTTTAAGTTGATGGTGTGGAAGGCCTGCACTGGGATTCTGTTGCTCTGGGATGGAGATGATGAAAAGGATGAACGTCTTTGTCCTGCCGATGTCAGGTCTGAATCCAGGAGTTGTCGGTCTAGCTTCTTTAGGTTTCAAATCACAAACGAGACTGGAACTAACTCCGTGGGTTAACAAGAAAATAAGGGAAAACATGAAGGGTTGGGGGAGACCTGGGGTTGGGGGCATCCTGGGAGACATGGGGTTGGGGGCATCCTGGGAGTGCCTGGGGTTGGGGGCATCCTGGGAGTGCCTGGGGTTGGGGCATCCTGGGAGACCTGGGGTTGGGGGCATCCTGGGAGACCTGGGGTTGGGGGCATCCTCAGAGTATATTGGGAGTAGGGGGTGTTGGGGGCATCCTCAGAGTATATCAGGAGTAGGGGGTGTTGGGGGTAGATATGATCACGGTGCGTTCTTTACAAGTGTGAAATTGTCAAAGAATACATAAAATGTATTTGAAAACAAGTCAATGTGGTGTTTTTGTCTCTGTAGGAAATGCCAGTGCCACGGCTCCAGCATGACTGACCCATGACTCCTAACAGCATGACAGGTACCTGCTGGTGCTCTTGATTTTTGTTGTCTTGATTTTCCACCTACTGTGGGGTGTAGACCTCCTAAAAACCAACCTGAGAGTCTTGTCAGAAATCATTTCCAAAACAGTAAGCGTTACTAATCCCTGTGTAAACGTCTCTACAAATGTGCCTCCCTATTCAGAAACTACAAATCTTCCCAGGAGTAAGACAGAGACGAGGGAGAGTCCCGGTGAAAGGCTAGTGTGCAACCCTCCTATGATCACCCCTGTACACTGAACATGGTCCCTCAGATTCATATAACAAATGGCCCTGCAGCCCTAGTGACCACAGGTCAATGCATCATCCCCAAAGAGGGCTGTCCGCTGTATCCGCAGTGGGGCAGAATCAATAGAATGAGATCACACATGGCACCAGTGAGCTGTGAAATCTTAGTAAGGGCAGGGCAGGGCCAGAACAGCCCTGGAAGAATACCAGGCTGCCATAGTGCAAGTTCCCTGTACACATTCAACGGCCCCAGAGACCAAGCAGGCAACACCAAAGGCCGAAGAGGCAGGACTGAGCAGAACTGGAGAACTCTGGTTCTCCCTGAAGGAAGCCCCCCCCCATGCTAAATGACCACTGGTAAGAAGGCACGAAGTCCTGTATGTCCAGAGATTTTGAATTTTCGAGAGACATTGGAAGTCTAGATTTTTAAATAAAATGTCCAAATTTTTAAATGTCAACAATTAACTAACAAAATATCGAAGATTGATGGACCATGATTGGAATGAACTCCTGAGCTGTCAGATTACAGCACTAGCTCTACCCCTTCCTGCCAAGCTCCAGGCCCATGCCTGCCTGGTCTCTTAGTAGCCATGACAACAGGGAGGCCACCCATGCTCCTCTGCACACCGAGAGACCCTAGCTTTTAGAAATCTGTTCTCACTGCTTGTCCACTGTGGGGTGAACCACGTGTGCAGGCCTTTGAGACCCTGTTCTGCGGTACGCCCTGTTCTGCGGTACGCCCTGTTCTGCGGTACTGTTCTGCGGTACGCCCTGTTCTGCGGTACACCCTGTTCTACGGTATGCCCTGTTCTGCGGTAAGCCCTGTTCTGTACTAGACCTGAGACGCAAAAGGCCACCTCTACACCACCAGCCCCCAGCTTCATGCCCTGTCTCTCTGTCACCTATGCCTCCTTCCATTCTTGGTGTGGCTGATGACAAGGGACCTACGCAAGGACCTGGGGCTAGAGGGATGGCTCAGTGGTTAAGAGCACTGGATGTTCATTCGGAGGACTGGGTTCAGTTCCCAGCACCACAGGGCAGTTAACAGCCATCCCTATCTCCAGTTCCAGCGGATCGACACCCTCTTCTGGTCTCTGGGGGCATTGCGTACATGGGTACACTTACATATGTGCAGGCAAAGCACTCACACACATAAAGCAAAATAAAAAATTTTAGAAACAAGGACCTCAGCATCACATGCCATCCTCTCCCCAGGTCACGTCACCTTATCAAACACTGAGACCCGTCCACTCCACCGACTCAGACCCTTCCACACTTGAGTCTCACCCTTTTCTTCTGCAGAAATTGGCACAGACCATCCTTAGCCACGGCTTCCTGTTCCTGAGGGTCTGACTGAAGTGTCAGAAAGAGAATCTAAGTCTTTGTGTCCACACATGCATGTGAACACACAGATGCCAGACACTGCATAGCTGAGAGAAACCATCCTGTCAGAGAAGGGACAGTGTAAGATCACAGAGTGACCCCAATATCTGATGGCAGCCCTTTATTCCGTGATAATCTGCCCTTGAAAATGCTTCCAAAGACGAACTTCCGAGAACATACACTCCTGAAACATGGAATGGCAATATTGAAAGTGGGTAATAAGAATCTCAGGTGGAGAGATGGCTCAGTGGTTAAGAGCACTGGCTGCTCTTGCAGAAGACCCTGGTTCGAATCCCAGCACCCACATGGTGGCTAACAACTGTCCATAACTCCAGTTCCAGGGATTCTGACACCCTCTTCTGACCTCCACAGGCATTGCATGACACACATGCACTTAACATACATGCAGGCAAAACACTCATAAAATAAAAATAAACATTTTTAGAAAAGAATCTTATGCTGTGGGAGGTTGATACAGTGGTGACCATTTACCCCAGTTCTCTCCAGAACAGAGGTTGGCAATTGTGATTGATTGGTGATTGGTTGGTTGATTAACTAATTATAGAGGACCAGTACCACCCAGAACCTGCTGGTCTATGATTTACACAGACCTGTCTCCAAAGTCCATTCTGTGTCTTACCACAGCCCTCCATCACAGTGGGAAGAGCCTGGGCTGTAGATACCAAGTGGATTCGCTGTATCCTCGTGAAACCTGACCTACAAAACAGGCAGCGTGTTCAGATAAAGAGGTCACGTTTGGGTGTAGGGCTCTCTCACCAGCTTGGGTGGTGGGCTGTCCTTTACTGATGTTTTCTAGAGTCCCCAGTGGGCCTGAAGGTGTCCTTTAGCTCCATCCCACTGAGAGGCTGCATGAACCAGGGCCATTCCCAGACAGTTCTAGACTAAGCCAGCTTTTCCAGCCCTTGCAGGCTGAGTTGGAGCCCCCTACCGGGAGAGCCAGCCTTCACTCCAGGGCAGAAACCCAGACCCCTCTGTTGTACAAGAGGCGACTCTGCAGGCACTCGGGCTTCCTGTCCGCAAATGGGCTCAAATAAGAAAATCATGCCTTTAGACACTTATTTGTGTGCGAAATAAAACGCGGACCTTTTCTCTCTCCCCATCACCACGGGCTGAGGCCACGTGTTTATTTTAATCTAAAGGGAGATCATAATAAAGCCTAAAACCATTGGAACTAAATGCTCACTCTGGGTGCTTAATTCAAAAGCTAAGTAGCACTCTTTCTCTTCACAAAGCATAATGGGAACTGTTACTGTTGAGCCTTACAGGTCACCAGTGAACCTTAGGAGAAGAAAACCCAAGGACTGAGAATTAAGAACGCTGGACGGTTCTAAAAGCGGCCGAGCCAGCATGTTCAGATGAAGAGGTCACGTTTGGGTGGAGAGGCTCTTTCGTCAACAGTGCTTATGAAATTTATGTGTTTTGACCTCACTCAAGTGGAAAATTGTTTGCTTTCTGGAGTTATTTAATATCAGCTATGATGGATTTGGTTCTTTCCAAAATTTGCTCCTTGATTTGCCTCAACTCATTTGAAGATAGGACTGTGTGGAATAACTCACGGAACAAGGCTAGTTCTTACAAAGGGAAGTAAATGCCTTAATGAGGTATTTTAGGAGTTTAGCATGAAGCCCCGTTTCCCAGGTGGTCTGAGGGAATTCTGTAGACGTTTGTGACACTATCATGAGTTCTATTTTGAATGTCGCCATGAGTCATAGCATGTGGGAATTTGTTCTAAGATGGGAATATCTAGCATTTCTGGGTCCAAAGTGAAAGGCTTTTGGCCTTATTTGACAAAGAAACCAAGCACACAGACCCTTGACATCACTCAACAAGTAGCAACAAGGATTTGCCTGTGTCAACAGGGAGCCTAGCTTTATAAAATTAGGACAGAGCATAAAGTAGGCATAGCACCCTGGGACCCTGTAATGCCACACCACACTGCCATCGACCCTCCAGTGCGAAGCCCTTCCTCACCCCTGAGTCCACCCGCACGTCTTTGGTTGCCTAGTCACCTGCCTCCTCAGGAGCCTGTTTGTTTTTATTTGTGTTTCCCTTCATCGAGGCTTATTCCTGACCGTCCTAGGACATGGTATCTGCAGGGTTGCACAAAGCTTGAGAAAGCTCTGTGTTCCCATGTGACCTTTGCATTGCCTTTTGTATGCCTGCCTTGTTAGGAAGCTGTTTGCTATGAACGACATCTTTTTTTGATTTTTCTTAATCCTCCTAGAGTTAAGTATTGTAAACATGTTTATTGCTGTTTATATTTATTATCCATTTCCCCACTGACATCCTTGTGTATTTTCATTATTTATAGAAGTCGTTTATGTATTAAGAATATTAACTAAGGCAGTCACTCAATCTCTCCAAATATTGTTGTCTTAATTTTGTTTTCTGTTGCTGTGATAAAATACTCTGACAAGCAGTTTAGGGGAGAAAAGGCTTATTTTAGCCCACATTCTAGGTCAGATCAAAGTGGAAGTGGCTGTGGCAGGAACCTGAGGGGACAGGTCATGTCATATCCAGAATGAACGGAGAGACTGAGCGCATGCTGCCTGTGCCCAGCTCGCTTTCGCCATTTCAGTCCAGGACCTAGTGGGCAAAAGGGTGCTGCCTACTCAGGCTGAGTCCTCCCCTCAATTAATCCAAGAAAATTCCCCACAGACATGCCCACAGGCCAGCCTAATCTAGTTGGTCCCTCACTGGGACTCCCTGCCTGGTGATTCCAGAGTGTATTAACAATTAAAACTAACCATCCCAATTATACTCTTTATGGAATGAAAAAGTGAGAATTCTTCCCCCTGACTCTCCTCCCATTTGTAGGACATATTCTCTGCATCTCAACATTGAATAGTTGCGATCATGTTTCCATAAAGGAAGGTGGACATCCACTGATGGTTGCGTTTTGATGGTTGCTTGGTCATTTAACCCCTCAAACGCAGAATCAGATAGGCAGTGGCCTGCCTTCTGCATGACTAGCTTTCCATGCTAAAGGTCATTGACCCCCAAATAACAGCAGTCCTCAAAGACATCTAATGTGAACAGCATACATTTTGTTAAGAATCTATTCCTATTAACTAATAAATGCTTCAACAAAAGGATTTTAGCTGTGGTTGCCCAGCAGTCCATCAGACTTTGATGTCAGCACTTGGCCTTGTCACGTGGTGTTTTACTAAGTTATGTCAGGTGAGCACACATTCTTGAAAGTAATGTGATGAGTGAGCTCTCTAGTGACCTAGTGATGTGCGCATCCTGATTTGGTCCTTGGGATCACACCTGCCCCGAAAAAAACAAATGCTGTCTTGGAGGGCTGGGACCTTTCAGAATTTCTTGTGTCAAATGGTAGCCACATTTG